ACCATCATAAAAACCCGTTACCGGTCCAAAAAATGAAAACCAAATAGTGAAAAAGCACCAGTCACTTTAGTGAATGACCGACTAACCACACCACAATACAGTGAGACAAGGGGAACTAATAAGGAAACTCCGCCCGAAGTCTTGAACTAATAGAAACCGATAGGGGACATAGAGTACGTCAGGCTTGTGGGCTGGTTCACGGATGCAATGGAAAATTTGCTCGAGAACGCTATGGATCAGCCTTAAAAAGATTTTGAGTAATGCGTGCTTTTTCGAGGATACCGGATGACGTGTCGCAGTTGGATCTTCCCAACCGATGAGCTTTTAACCTGCGAAGGCTGGTGATAAACCGGTGAGTAACAATACGGTTCTTTAAGCACTAGACGTAATCTGCGGCGCTCGTGTTCTAGGCCAAACGACTGAATTTTGGTTGGATGGATCATCGATTCTCCCCAGCCTTTGTGAAACTGACAGGCTACCGGACCGTTAGCAAATGTACGGATTGAGCTGCTATGATGATACACATTGACTCGATGGAAAACGGAAGTTGGTAAACCGCAGGTAAATGTTAATGACCACCTTCAGAGAGACAGTAAGTAGATTAATAAAGAAAATTCAGGATGCGTAGCTCAGTAACAGCCCAACTCCGTCGATGGTGTTTAAAGATTCAGTGAACCCACAGCACCCTTGACAAATATGTAATCGGGACAGTACCGAGGCACGCGGGTAACGTGAATATGCTTTGTAAGCGGGTCTCAACGAGGTAACAGAGATTAATGATGAGAGGTTCTAGAGTACAAGCAGCAGCTGATTGCGATCATAGCTGCACAGGTGTCCAGACACTGGAGGCGGCCAACATGAATTAGGAGCGAGGGCGTAGAAAGGTCCTGTCCGCCCGATTGTGTGGCACACGGTCGGTCTCGAACTAATAATCGACATGGTAAAAACGTCAGGCAAAGCGGTAAGTTGTTAGAGACCCAGCATCAGATGGGAAGTGCCAGAGATGGCGGAGTATTGCAGACGTGAAACAAAGCATATAGCAGGTGGTGCGGTACAGCATGGTTTTGCGAAGCCGAGTGCCAGCACCTCGATCGAGGAAACTGAAGGAAGCGAAAGTAGACCGAAAGTAGGAGTAAACAGGTTTATGCCCATATGTGTTGTGCGGGCATAGAGGTTATCGGTTAGCCAAGCCGAGGAAGAAGGTTGACTTGGGGAACCACATTCGGAGCCTTAGGTTATAAAAAGACCTGGCCCGAAAAGCAGCGAGGCGACTAACATATATCGTGAACAATGGAGAGCTGCTAACGAGACATTAGAGTAGTAACAAAATACTCAGGGCGCCCGAGTACAGCAGTAGATGGGGTCAGAAAACGCTCTCTGGAATGTCCAACTCGCTGCAGAATACGAAGGCCGTCAACAGCCACGTGGCTAATACGCTTTATTACTGTTCTATAGAAGTCTACAGAGAAACCGGTGGCCGATAAAGGTGTTCATCCGCCCTCTGTCAGGTGCTAACTTCTGACTGCAAAGTGACTGGTCATTGGGACTAGAGCCTATCACAAAGGTTTTATCACAACCACCTACGGGCTTTTGTGGTATGTATTAGAGAACCAGGTGACTAGTCTAGAACTCCCCATACTCTGAGACACTGTCGCTGATTAACCGTGACTGCTTATTCACCTAGCCTGCGAATCAAACGAGACCTCTTCACAGTTACCGTAACAAGAAAAGTATAGCCCGATTCGTAATTTAGGTAAGCGTGCGACAGCGATGTCGTAAGCTATTCTATCTGCAAACATCACATTCTCGGCTTCGTCTTGCATCAGTACACTTCGCCCTTAGTACATCCTGGTATCACTGCTTCAGTAGTACACGTTCAACTGTGGTGGCATGTACATTTACGAACTTCGTGGTTCAAACCCTACCAACTTACGGGACTCCAGCAGTCTTTCATTGCCCCTGTCAAAGCAATGCTCATTGTAACTAGCCCCTGTAACCAGGAAACGCAGCGTGTGCTAGCCGTGGAACAAGCATCAGAATTGCAGTATTATCAGCTGCAATACAACCGTAGAGCACAGGTTGATACGTCGCCCATCGCAATCTGGTGAAGCTAAGCAGCTTCGTACGCTGCAGTCGTCGCACAGGCGAAGGTGCTGATGTTTACCTATGCACATGCAATTCAGCTGTTTGGGTAACGTAAACCGCAACCAAGTGCTTCAATGCGCCATTAGTGTCTGTTGCCCCACGCACGCTCTGGCAACGGCAAGTGATAGCGCATGCGGACAAGCACTTGGGAATTTGGCTTAGGAACATCGACTGACGGCCGTGTAAGTAGTCCTTTTAGAGGACGGACTTCGTTATAACGGTGCTGCGGATCAAACCCAAATTCCTTATCTGACAATGACCCAGTTTCATTTTAGCTAGCCGTTGGTGACCTCACGCGATGAGATTTTGTTTCAATAATTCTCATCAGCCTACTACAGTTATGAGAAAGAATCAAGCAACACACTATTGCCGAAAGCTGGTCAGAAGACAAATGATAGTTACTGTAGAGTGATCTCTTCGCATATTGGACTTCTTATCTAAGCAGTAATAAGTTACCACACCCAAGATCATACCTTAGCAGGCGTGCCTCACACTGCCGGGAATAAAACAGTTATTTATTTATCCCCCATGATGTAATCGGTTACCGCCTATGTGACAAGTTGCACACGAGCAAGTCCGAGCTGAAGCAAATCATTTGCACTCTTGTGCCCCACACATGCACATGATTGGTAACATCCGGTACCGAATTTGCCTGTCACTGAGGCCTTTATGGGGATAGCTACAGGATGCCTGCGCCAACAGAGAGACCATGGATGGTTTGCGCCGTACCACCCACAGTTCCGTCGACCCACTCCATATCCAGCGTAAACCCGAGAGAATAAGACCGAGGCATGTGAATGGGAACCACCTGCCATCAAAGGAGCCGGCACACTCCTTGAACATACATAGCAGCAACATTCCTGTCCATCTATTTGGGCAGTCATGCGTACTTGACGTACACAAACAGCAGCTGGGCAGCTCTGGATTGGAACCACTATTTGAGCCTAGCGAGACCACGGGGATAGTGCACCCCGTCCCCTCAGCAACGATACACAGTCTCCTGGAGCCAGTATAATTGAGGTGGAGAATGTTAGACAGGTAGGTACCTTGCCAACATTCACCTCAAAAACAGCCAGACATGGGTTATAAAACAATCAAAACATCATCACCATCATCAATACGCGTGAACCAAGGGTGAGAAATACATCAGCTAATGTGTCGCAATACAAGAAAGAGAAGAGATTAATCAATACCGACTACAAAAGCTAAATAAGTAATATAATGCCAAAATCACATTATGAATTGGGTTTGAAATTGATGTTGGTGGAGGAAGATAAAGCGGAGGGGAGGGATAAGGAAACAAAACACAAATGCGAAAAAGGTCGGCTCCTCGCCATGTAAGTAAGTGTATCCAGGCAAACGTGTTCATCGTCTTTCGGACCTCAGCTTGGCAGTCTGGAAACACCAACCGACGCCAAATTCGGAGTGAAGGACTTCATTCCTCTTGACCAAGTCATGGCTTGGCCACCCAAGCCCTTCTTCTATCCAGACCACGGTGGCGTAAAGAACGCACGTCGCCAGAGTCGGTGTGCTGACATACACAACACGTTGTGCAGCCATCGGAGCCTTATGCGTGATATAACAGTGCTGAGCGGTTCACTCGCTCTTCCTACACAAATCCGCAAGGCCGAACACGCTCATTGCTCACGCGGTGCTCCCACCAGACATGAGCCAAACTGCGAAGGAGGCAATGGCAGAAGGTAACAAGCCTCTTTATATCTGGCGACTTGATGGGTCAGGTTTCGCAACCGTAAAAGTGGATTGAACAGATAGCTGCATTGTAAACTCTGCCCTTCCAAGAGAGTGATGTCGCGCCGGTGCGACAGGTGGCGGAGAGTGGCAAAAGCGCCTCGAGCATTCGCTATACGGTTCGTGACCCCATCTTCAATCCCGAGGGCACTAATATAGTTGCCTAGACACATAAATTTATGGTGGATATCTAGCTGATCATCAACAAGTGTCAGCGCAGGAATGGGTTCCTGTCAATCTTGGTGAAAGACTGCATTTCGAGGGTGCAAAGCATAGCCCGAAAAGACTGACAACCAGAACTAATTTATACAGTGCAACTTGCACGTTCCGGAGCTGTCACAGAATTTATAGGACAAAGAACTCGCAAAATTGACCAGGAATCTGCAGTAGAATGACAGAACTGAACAAAGCAAATAAAGCGGAATATTTTTATGGAGGTTAAGATCCAGCTTAAGTGTAAGTCAGTATAGCCCAACTGCGGTGAAGAAGCATGTTATATGCAACATCAATCTCAGCGTGAGGCGCATGCGTTGTTATGAATGTGCTGGCGATATCCTATTGACTGGCGACGCGCAGGTAGCTGTCGCCCTAATCAGTTTAGTTGACGAACGGGCCGACCTGGTTAGAAGACAGAGGAATTTGCTTTCCGTACGGCTCAACTTGTAAACTGTATGGGCCAACTTGACAGGGAAACGGTATAGTCTTTCATATGTTAACAGAGGCAAGAGCATGAAGAACCATTTGAGTAGCAACAAACTTCGCCATAGAGTCGCAAACCGGATCTACATGTGAAGTTGACAAGCTGAAAATCAGGACAGTGGCCGGAAGAAGAATTTCGCTTTGTAACCCAAAAGTCACCGGTCCGAATCTGCGTAGATGTGGGCGACCTCGCAGCATAGTTTACATGTGACTGGTGGTGGTCATGTGACAGTGAAGCTTCGGTGCGGCCCACCGGAGCACTGTTTATGCTCTTGTTTGTCCCAGTGAAGCTCGTTAAGGTGATGTGAAAAAACGTGGTCTATGATTTGTTTAAAACCAAATAAATAGGAAATTTAATGAAGCAATAATGGTGGACCGTGGTGATATAACAGGGGACGGCACAGTACCTCGAAAGGCTGTTTCGTGTGGGATTCGTATAGGCTGCCCAGAACTTTACGCATTTTCAATATCTCTTCAGCCTGAATTTTGATGTCAGAAGCCTGACCTAGAAGTGCTCAAGAAAAAAACTAGAAATTAAAACCTTGTGCAGAGCCAGATGGCTGGTGTATCATGATCCGCGAATGTGGCAGGGCAAATCGCAACCCGGGTGAGCCAGCTGTTAACAGTAAAGAGCCCATGCTGCTAGCCTGACCAACACACCACGTGGCGACAGGTGGCCTAATGTATTGCATTGTGTCATATATGGCCAAACCGGCAGTGACGACTCCCCCTAAACCGTAGTGGATTAAGCAGACAATTACCTGGACTGTTTATGTACAAATGGATGGGTAACTTTTTGTCCTCCGACTGTAGATACAAGAGTTGCGCAATCACAAGGCTAGAAAGATCATCGTTGATGGGGCCCATAAGGCATATGATGCGATCCTTCAACAGCCGAGAATATATGTCGTATGCTCGCTCTCCATGAGTGGTTTTATCTAGCACGATGGGTATCAAGGAGAAGTGCCGCGCTTGATGATATCGAAAGGTGCCAGTGCCAAAAACAGTTGAGTAACGCTTGAAATGTACAGTGCTCCGAGCGAGATATGCCGCAGGACCGACTATTCTGTCGAGCATCACTGTCGTAGGTGTCGAGCCGAGAATTTTGGGGCTTTCACAGGTCGTAATAGACCGAAGGGGCTGAAATGCAAAAGATACTGGAAAGTTTCATCACAACAACCTAGCACAAGATGGAGATGGATGGAAGGTGCGCTTGACTTACATTTCGTGGCGAGTTGGTCAGGTGAGTATGCCGTTGCAGGACCGTGTCTAAGGTGACTGTATGGATGTCATGGAAACGAACGAGGTGGCTGCTCAAAGATACAGCGAAAATGAAAAAGGAAGGCAAAGAAAAGAGGAAACGACAATGATCTTCTAGGCCATGTTCGACGATCTATTACCTCAGTACCACTAGCAATCACCGGTATGAAACTATACTTAACCGTGTGTGTGATCAAATAAGCAATAGGTGTAAAGTAAGTGACGGAAGTTCCCCCCTATGCCCTACCAATCTTAGACTGACGAATAATTGTATCTTCAACACACATAGGCGGTTTCATTCGGTTTATTGCGACGGGCTCGGCGGTACGGAGGATGCGGCGATTATGGTGATGTAACACAATTGTGAACGCTGGTCCAAGCTGTATCCCGTGATGCGGAGGAGGCGGGCGGCCTGCGCGAGCATGGAAAGTCAATGCGGCAGGTATGCTGGTTCATTTCACGTTGGCACGTGATTTTTCGTTCGGGAAGCCTCAGAACTACCGGTCCCACCTATGCAACTGGCTCCTCAGTTACACATGAATTGGTATGCGCAGTGTGAGCTGGCCCCGATTAATTGAGCTTTCTTTGCCCCAGGCACCGACAAGTTACGAGTTCGGTTAATGACAAATTTAGCAGCGTTGCAAGTTCTCTCCGTAGCAGAGAATCCGCGAAGATAACCATTTGCCACGAGTTTTGTTGTAACTCTAGTTCGTCACCCAGACAGCCGGCCATTTTCGCCATATCCTGGTAGCGCAACGATCCAAGTCTAGTAGTTCTGAAATCCTTCAGGTAGTACTCAGTAATGTGCGTAGTCTAGGGAATAAGGTGCACGAGTTGGGTATACTTGTAAACATATCTCGTCCCGACATACTTGCCTTCAGTGAAACGTGGTTATCCCCGCATATCACGGACTGTGAAGTAGGTACCTAGTTGCACACTGCTTAGAACGTATCGCCCCGTTGGTCGTCAAAACGGAGGCGGTGTTGTATATGAGCTGTAAATTAGATGCGTTGAGGACTTGCACATTTCAGTCTGAATCAAACTGTTGAACCTCCATCGGCAATGTACACTTCCTCCACTCAGTTTAAAGTTTTAGTGGTATACAGTAGTCCTCGAAGTGTCTCCAGGGAGAATGGTTAATTTATTCGAACTCGGTCTGTGAAAAGACGTCTAGTTTTAGGGGATTTTAACCTCTCTGAAATTTTTGGGCTGGTCTTTCATACAATTCGGCGTCAAGAACATTTAGTGCAAAGTTGCTTGAGCTGGCATTGCATCAGATCGTGGACTACCCCACTAAGCAAAAAAAGTTGTCGGCCCGATATAGAAAGAAGCCAGAAATGCAAGTCAGATAGTGTTAATATTCAACATAATCTCCCACAAGTTGAGAGCGCACTTAGTCAAGCGGTCTTTAAGCATTGCTATATCTATGTGGATGGATTACACTACTTCTTTCTCTCTTGCTGTGTCTAATGGCTTTACTGTCTCTGCTGCTCAACATTCGCTCACAGATCCTCCCACGTCCTGTTCCTCAAATGTACCTGTGTCTTCCCCGGACACTGTCAACAACAGCTCACTGGTCGCATCTGCCACAGGTTTGAGCCAAACGTTTGCTGTTCATTGCCCGGTGGTCACAACAATCTCACACTCAACGGAATCCAAAGCTTTCTTTCGTCCCGGTTCTCCATTTGGCTTTGCATCGTTCAATGTGAGCCCTCTGATGCAGATCGGACGACAAGCATATCTGTCCCGCACGTTTGAGACATTCTCAGTGGACATTTGTTGCCTTTCCGAAACCAAGTTGCAAGACGCCAGTACGGTCATCAGAATGACATCTCCGGAAAATCCTGACGTCAAATACCACTTGCGCCTTCCCCGAGACCCAGAGGCCGCCGCCTCTGGCCAAGCTGGTGTCGGGGTTACACTGAGTGATTGGGCTGAAGTCGGTTTGCTTGACTGGATCCCAGTCAGCAGTCGACTATGTGCAGTCAGACTATGAGATTCATGTAAGTTAAGTAAGTGTCGAGATGTTACGCATGCCTAGTTTGTCATCTCCGCCTACGCTCCTACAGACTGCAGCCTGGATGCAGTCAAGGATTGCTTTTACCAACAGCTACATGAGTTATGCGTTCCGCTAAAATGTCTGACATTGTCATTCTTGCCGGAGATTTTAACGCACGAGTGGGCCGCCTGCCACTAGCGAGCACCATCTTGGGGGTAGTTTTCGCCTCGGTAGCAGCCGCTCAGACAATGGAGACAGACTACTGACTCTTTGTTCTGATCATCGCTTGTTTCTTTCGAGTACAAATTATCGTCATTCGAAAGGACAGACTACTACCTGGCGTCCACCATCTCAAACACAAGAATGGTCTCAGCTTGACCATACAGCAATAAGCTACAGATGGCGCGGAAGCGTAACAGACTGCCGATCGTACTGGTCAACCTGTCTGGACTCCGATGTTAGCCAAGTACCAGGTTTCTCTGTCAACTCAGCTTGCTTCATCCTCTGACGATGGTCTCAATTCGCAATAAATGCGCATCAAAGACGCTTTAATTTCTGCCAGTACTGTCAGTTGTGGATTTGCTTGTCACGCGCCGAAAAGCTGGATCACCACTGCTTCCTTGTCGCTGATGGACAGACGCCATTTGATCCTAGCCGACATCAGCTGTAGTGAGGAACGCAGGTCCCTGGATCGGACGTTACATAGGAGCTTACAGAAAGACCGTGAGACCTGGTAGTGTGAACAAGCTAGGGAGCTTGAACTTGCTAATCTCTCTGATGATACCAGAAAACTGTTCCACCTCATCCAAGTCACCGAAGGCTTCCGATCTGGAGTAAGCGAAACAATCTGCGAAGATGATAGCTCCATAATCACTAATCTTCAACGACGGTTGGAGAGATGGGCCGAACATTTTCGCTCGCAGTTTTCCTGGCCGTCAGTTCCATCTGTTTACCCTGGGGCGTGCACTGGTGAGGATCTTCCCCTGATCCTCCCTCTCACTAGGAAATATGGCGGAAACTCTACTGGCTTGCCGAACAACCTCCTCGTGGTGCCAGCTGGGTGGTTCGGGATTATCCCGTTCCAGCGAATGGTTCAGCGGTAGTGTTCTAGAACGTGGTGGGTTTTCGCCTGGCACGCGTTCTCCCTATAAAAAGCCACATATGTCCGTTTAACAACACTGTGACGTGGCGGATGTGACTCGCCACTAAATAAAGTCACTGCCCCTTGCCTCTCTCTGAGTGGCATTGTAATTCAAGGGTGTGTTGGGCCCCTGGTCCTATGCGGTCCTAAAGGCGTATGAACCACTCGTTTGGTCACCGGCTCCCAACGGGTTGCGATACCCTCATATCGCCCTGCTGCCTTGTAGGTTAGATTCTTGATCAAAGGCTCGGGGTGGGGCCCCCTGAGACAACCCTCCACTTCGGCCTGGGCAACCGGGTAGTATCTCGCCCACTGACGAACCATGGACTTACAACCACAATCATTCACCCGCTCTCCTGCTGCTTCCATGCTATTCACTCATGTCATTATGCCAACTGCATAAGCACACGCCACCATTTTATCTACTCTTCCCTTGTACAATTCACACCCATTGTTACCTGATTTCTCTATGGTGATCAACCCCACCTACACTGATGAACCTGTTCCCATGACATCTGCCAACTCAACCACACAGTACTCAACAGAGAGCTGCCGGTCCCAAAGTTGCCCATCTCCGCTCCTGCAACCCGGAACGCAGTTCAAACTTGCAGCCTTCAACGTAAGCACATTACTGCAGATCGGCCAGCAAGCTGGACTTGCACGCACGCTAGAGACTCTTGGAATTAATATCTGTTGCCTGACTGAAACACGACTCCTGGACTCTAACTCCGTCTACCAGCTGGTGTCATCGCTCCACCCACGCACCCGCTTCCATCTACGCCTCTCTGGTGACGCCGTCTGCCGCATCTGGACAAGCTGGTGTTGGAATCACCCTCAATGCTAGAGCCGAGACTGCTTTGATTGACTGGATTTCGATCAATAGCCGCCTTTGTGCGATGAGGCTCCATGGCTTTTGTAAACAGCAGACGTCGAGTGGAAAAGCGTGCTCTCTTCGTGATCTCTGCCTACGCGCCCACTGAATGTAGCTCGGACACCGTCAAAGACCAGTTCTACCAGAACCTTCATGAGCTGCTCCTAAGGGCTCGTAAAACAGACATCATTGTTTTGCCAGGTGACTTCAACGCGCGTCGGTCGTCTGCTGCCATGTGAGCGCCACCTCGGGGGACCGCATGGATATGATGATGTTCGCTCAGACAATGGAGAGAGACTGCTCAGTCTGTGTGCTGATCATCAACTATTCCTCACCAGCACCAGCTTAAGTTATCCTGGACGCCAGTACGCCACTTGGCGCCCCCCATCATCAAGCTAGCGCTGGTCAAAGATTGACCACATAGTTATAAGTCGCAGGTGGCGCGGCAGCGTACGCCACTGCCGATCATTTTGGTCAACATGCGTCGGTACTGATCATGCACTGGTGTGTGCGACCGTTTGCAGCGTTTCGGTGGTTCGCCTAGGTCAAAACACACCCGACTGAACATCTACAAGTTGGAGGACCCAATGGTGAAGAAAGAGTATCAACTAAAGCTTCGTGAAAATCTAGCTCTCTCTCACAGTCTGGATGTTGATCAACACTGGTCAAGTCTGCAACAAGCCTTGCAGTCGGCCGCTTTGTCCAGCTGTGGCCTCGCTCGCTCCACTCTCAAAAGCTGGATCTCGGGAAGATTCTCGGAATTTCTGGATCGCCGACGGGCGGTGCCTGCTGGTGCAGAGTGCAACGAACACCGCCGTTCTATTACGCAACAACTGAAAGCAAGTCTTCGCTCTGATCGTGAATCTT